GCGGCGGGTGGCGCGCCGTGTGCACCCTGCCCCGCCCCACCTGAAGTGCTCCACCGCCTCCGCCTCGCGCCGCAGCTGCCGCAGCACCATCGCGAGCTTGAAGTGCGCGCGGGGGTGGTCGGGCGCGAGCGCCAGCGCGTGCGTGTACGCGGCAGCCGCGCGCGCGGGGCGCTCGAGCTCCTTGCACGCACGCGCCAGGTCCAGCAGCATCTGGTTGGCCGGGCGTTCATGCATCGTGGAGGTTGGTGGGCTCAAGCTGTCGGTCCAGGAGGTTTGAAAATCGCGCGACTGCAGGCTGCGAGGAGGGCCGCAACGTGGTCTGCCCACGTCTATGCATGGTCGAGGCGGTAAGGAATCAGGACGCCATCAGGAAATTAGTGAGGAGAACTCACTCGACCACCCAGAAACACAAAACCCTGGCACTTAATAGCTGGCCTACCTGGACGTTTGAGGGGTCTTTTTCGCACGCGCGCTCGTAGGCGTCCGCGGCCGCCGCCCACTGCGGGGGGTCCGCCTTCTCGTGCACGCGGCCGAGCGCGTGGCGCAGCCGCGCGCAGCCGGGGCTCAGCTGCACCGCGCGGCGCGCGAGCGGGAGCGCCTCGTCGTACTGTGGGGCGTTGGCGTGATGCGGCAAAGGACGTTTCATGTGGGGCATGGTGCTGGCGGGTCATTGACGGTCAACGCACTCGCCATCAAACACTTCGTTCCGCCGGGGCTGCTGCATGCCCCCTTCACCACCAGCGCCATAACACCAGTCAGCAATGCCAGCTGCATATGCGTAATGATGCCCCTCTGCGGCCATGGTGGTGGAACGCGCGCGAGCTCACTGCTTTGGCGCCCTTCCAGCACACCAGGGCGGCGGCCAGCGCGGCCAGCGCAAGTGCATCGTCGGGCCGGGCGCGCAGGTGCGCACGGTAGCTCTCTACTGCCGTATCAAATTGCTGCTGTTTATGAAACTTAACGGCCTGATCGTACAGGCTGCCGTCCGCCGGCGGTGCCATGCTTTAGCCCTTGCGACCAGCAGTCTACGATCTACAATCATACACTGCTGAACGAGGCATTAGATTTCTACGTGCAATTAGTTTGCCGCTTGAAGCCGGATTTGCACGGTGGTAAAGTGACGTATGGTGGAGTGACACAAGCCCATGCTGGTCGTTGATGTTACATCGAGTTTGGGAGACATTACACTTTCAATTTATTCACACTGACCGTCACAGCGCTAGATCGTGGCTCACCACAATCAGCGGTATTGCAGACGCAGCCTGGCATGGCGGATGTAAGCAAGAGTAACGGCTTGATACATCACCTCTACGTTCGGCAGGTGGCGCAGCTCGGGGATGCTTGTGATCTGGGGCGCTGACTCGCCGCTGCGTTTGACTGCACCGCGGCTCCGCAGGAGTACGGCGAGTGTGTGAAACTTGTAGACTCAGTACTGGAGGAGACACGCAACCAGTGCGATTACGCTGTGTATGTGAAGGCACTTATCGAGCGGCAGCAAGGTTGGCTGCTACGCGCTGTCGTCTGTTTGCAGCAGTTATGAAGCGCTGCAACGCCACCACCGCCACAGCCGACGCAGTAGCCGACACCGCTGCATGTGAGGGATATGTTGCTGCTGCTGCTTCTGCTACTGCTGATGATGCAATGGCCTCGCTGCTGTTGCTGACGTTGCTGTTGCTGCCACCCTCGCAACAGCTGTTGGTTTCCTGCACCGCCCTTCTCCTGCCGCCGCTGCCGCCCGCCATCGCCGCAGGGCGCATTCAAGAGTCCCTCCGCCTGTTCCAGCAGGCCACGGCCCTCAACCCCCACAACGTCCTGAACCTCAAGCAGGTGCCGCCGCTCCGCCTCAAGCCTGCCCCTTCACGCCCCGCACGCGCGCTGCGTCGTGCCGCAGCTCCCGGCCTCCCCGGCCGCAGACCAGCGCCCCGCTCTCGACGTCCCTCGCAGGTCGGCCGCTCCCTCGCGCTGCTGGGCAAGCACAGGCAGGCGGTTGACGTATACCAGGAGGCGCAGAAGCTGTCCCCCGATGACTGGGAGCTCTGGTACAGCAGAGGGCTCTGCCTGTCGCACCTGAAAGATCAGCAGGACTCGTGAGCGACGGGGGTGGAAGCGAGGGGGCGCGGGGCCCGCTCCCCACCGATTGATCGGCACACGGGAAAGCTGCCGTACATGCAGCTTGCGGTGCGCAGCCTTGAGCGAGGGCAGAACGCCTTTCCTTATCCTCGGACCGGTGCTGCCTCCTCCCTCTTCGCGCTGCCAGGGCGCTCGAGTGCTTCGGCTGCGCCAACGCCATCCAGCCCAATGACGGCACCTATATCCAGGTGGGGCTCACCCACATTCAGGCAGGGGGTCGCATGGCGGTGCAACAGCGCAGCACATGCCAACGTGGCAAATGGTCCTCGTTGACTGTATGCACAGCGACGGATGCGCACGATCGCTCGTGACGCCCGCTGCCGCCCTCGAAAACAAGAAAAGCCCCATATGCGTCCCCCACAACCCCTATGTAACCACCAGATCGGGCAGATCCTCGCGGCGCGCGACCAGCTGAGCGCCGCCATAGACAACTATGGGGAGGCTCTGCAGCAGAGCCCCGAGAGCCCAGAGCTGCTGACGGCCCTCGGCCTGCTGCTGCTGCGCGCGGGCGACAGCCAGCGCGCGTTTGACCAGCTGGGGGCGTCGCTGCTGCACGAGCCGCGCGGGGCGCGGGCGATACTGGCGGCGGGGTCCATAATCCAGGTGCAACGAGGTCCGCCACGCGGGGTTGGGGGACAAAGATCCATCGTCCAAAATTGGGGGCTGCTCGCGGGGTTTTGGCGCCATCTGGACTGGGTGTGAACCGGCAGCAGCGCCGCCTGAAGCAGCGGCAGATCCCCCAGAAATGTGCGATTGCGGGCGGCCGACCTGAGACAGAGGGCTGGTTGCACCCAGCCATGCAGCCAGCCGTCTGAATCACCTTTGACAAGCGAAGATCCAGCAGATTTTGGCCGCTTGCTCCCGGGCGCGCGGCCCCCAGAAACCCTTTGCCTGTGCAATGAGCACTCTCATGGGATCCCTCAATTGGTGCCACCCTGTCCCACCAACCCCATGATGTCCATCAAACACGTTGCCCGCCAACCACTCTACCTACCAAACACTTTGGTGCCAAACTACAAGGTGCCTACCGCACACTGCGCCTACCCAACGATTCACCTTCCGAGCACTGTGCCAACCAAACACATTGCCTGCGCACGCTCCCCCCCAGGACCACGGGGACCACGACGCGGCGCTGGTCAAGTACCGCGTGGCGGCAGTCGTGGAGCCCCACTGCCCGCAGCTCTGGAACAACATTGGGATGGCCTTCTTCGGGAAGCAGGCACGCGTGGGGGCGCCGCGCAGTCGCGGGAATGGGGACACGTGTCGGTATTTGTGGCCACTTGTGTCGGCTGGGGCCCGGGTAAGACCGCCTCAGCCGGTTCCGGGCCTTGACGCTCTTGATGTCTGAGTTTGCAGCTGCCGGCCTGTGCTGCTGATCCGGCCCCCCCAGCTGGTTGTGCCCTCTGCCGCCACCAGCTCATCCCCCTGACGCCCGCCCCCCCCCTCCCCCTGCCCTCAGCGCTACATTGCGGCGATCTCCTGCCTTAGCCGCGCGCTCTACCTGGCGCCCTTCGAGTGGCTGACCGCCCATAACCTCGGGCTTGCCTACCTAGCGGCCGGCCAGGCGGCAAGTGCGTTCCAGCACCTCTCTGCGGCGGTCAATCTGAAGCCCGACTTTGCGCCCAGGTGAGCCTCGGGAGAGCAACCGATCGCACGCCCCATTGTTTGCGGCGGAAACACTGGCCGCGGTTGGAGGTATCAGCCGGTGTGTAGGTCCTCGCGGCACCGACATCGCCCGCGGCGATGAACACTTGAAAAGCCTTGCAATAGTGGTGCAGCAGAGCGCGGTCATCCCCGTGTTCTTGTGGCCGACATCAGCGCAATTATCCCCCCCCCTGGGCAGCTACATGCTGCTGGCCGTGGCGCTGGAGCGGCTGCAGGACCCAGACAACGCGCGCGCCGCCTGCGAGCGCGCGCTGCAGCTCGACCCCCGGGAGCCCCTGGTGCACCTCAACTGCGGTGCGCGCACATGGCAATATGACCACGGCGGCACTGAGACAGAGGGCGGCAGACGCGGCAGCACACGGCGAGCGGACGCATGCGATCTCCCCTGCAAGCAAGGCGCGGCTTTCCCCTGTGCACCCTTCGACCCCTCGTTGTTACTGGCACGCTCTTGTGCTGCCCGCCCAAGCCCCCCCCCTGCACCGCGCTGCCCCGCCACGCAGCTGTGATGCTGCACAACCAAGGCGACGGCGCCGGCGCCGCGGCGCGTCTGGCCGCGTTCCGCGAGCTGAGCGCCGAGCCGGAGGAGGCGGCGCGGCTGGCGGCTGACCCGGAAGTCGAGGAGGCGGCGGCGGCGCTGGAGCTGGCGCTGGGGCAGAGGGGGTGATGGATGGGGGTGCTGGGACAAGTGGCTTAGCCTTGAAGTATATACTGTATTGATAGGGCTTTCTATGCATTTATACAGCAGAATACTGTGCTTGCGCTGATGGATGCACTGATTACTCTGGGTTGCCTTGGAGCTGGCACTCCTTGGAGATGGCACACCACAGCAGGGACGTGGCGTGCAATCGCGGACATTAAGAGGGTGACGCAGTCCGTTCATGCGATTCACCATACCTACAATTACAAAAGTAATGCACAAGGCAGCGCCGGGCAATCAAAGCTTGGAGGTTGAAAGGAAGAGAGGACTTTAGATGGCTGCCCGCAAGGGGAAGGGTGCGGGACGGCAGGCGGCGAAGTGTGAGACAACAAGAGGCACACGCAGGGGCGCGATGGGGTGCCGGTCGGTTTGCAGGAGGACAGGGCACAACAAGGCAGTCCCAGCAGGCAGGAGGGATGGGTAGTGGAAGTGCGGTTGTGAGGGATGCAGGAGGGAAGCGGGCAGCCGCGTGCGGGTGTGCGCCCGCAGGTATGAGGTCCGACCAGCAACACGCTGCCGCCGAGGCAGGCGCAACGGCGGCGCCCTCGACGGGGCCGCCGCCGGGCAGCTGCGAGCGCTGCCTGCGTTTCAGCCGAGCGGCATGCGGCTCCAGAAGCCATATATAACGCCCCGGTCCGTCATGTACACGCCGCCGCCCCGCCGCCGCCCCTCCTCGTCCTCGTCGCCCTCTCCGCCCTCATCGGACGACTCCCAATCCTCCTCGTACGCATCGCCCTCATCCTCGTCGCTGCAGCTGCCATACCGCTCCTCGCCCTCATCCCCATCATATACCCAGTCCTCGTCCTCCTCCAGCTCGTCGTCCCCGCTGCTGAGGCCGCCTGAACGGGCGTCGTTTTGGGCCGCGGCCGCGGCCGCGGCCGCGGCCGCGGCACGCGCGGCTGCGGCGAGCTGCAGCGGGTAGGGCAGCTGCCCGGCGGGCAGGTCGCACCATGCCGCCGCGCCGAAGGCGCCGCGATCGAACGCGCTGCCGCTGCCGCAGCGGTCCCCTTGGCCCTGCGGCAGATGCTGCTGCTGATTCCGCCTCTCAGGGTCGTCAATTCGGTGGTCCTGCTCAGGCGCGACACCGCCACCGTGCCCGCAGCCGGAGCTGCACTGAGCGCCGCCACCGCCACCAGAGCGCTCAGCGGCTGCCCCCTGTTTGGAGCAGGGCGCCGCCTGCTGCGGAAACAGAGGCAGGAAGTCTGGAGCTGCCACCGCCACCGCCGCCGAACAGCTGCCGCTGCGGGCCGCCGAGCCGCCGCGCGTACCTGCAGAGCAGCTGCGCCTGCCGCAGCTGCTGCACGGCTCAGTTAAGGCCGCAGCACGCAATGAGGGCCCAGCACCCCAGGGCTTGGCACGCGGACATGCAGGCGAAGTCTCCGCCGGCCGCCCTCGCAGCCGCAGGCGGTGCCCTGGGAAGTGCGCCCGCCCCGCAGCGGGCGGCGGGCTGCTGAGGCGGCGCGGTGTCCGGCGGGGTCGCGCCGGCGCGGCGCGGTGGGGGGATTCATGTTGGCGGCCGCCTGCGCTGTGCCACGACTTTTGGGACAGCAGCGCCTGCACCGCCGGGCTGGTCAACACCAGGTCTTCCCACGTCACTGGCAACATCTGCTGCTGCTGCTGCCGCTGCTGGTGCTGCTGCTGGTAGTCCTGGGCCCAGAACTGCCTGGGCAGGTTGCCGTGGAAGGAGGCGCTGAGGAGAGGGCCGGGGCGCGCCGTGCGCACGCGTCCGTCCGTCTCGCTGCTGCTGCTGCTGCTGCTGCTGCTGCTGCTGCTGGCAGCGGTTTTGTCCCCCGACGCATCTGCGCCGCTGCCGCTGGTCGCTTTGTCGGCGTGCGACGGCCCCTGCTCCGGCACAGTAGGTTGCGTCCGATCGCCTGCAGGCCGAGCGGCGCCCTGTGCGGCGAGGCGCAATGCTCGCCGTCAGGCCCGCGTAGTCAGGATTGAGGAGAGGTAGCCAGAGCAAGCCTCTGGCTTGTCAGCTTCGAATATAAGAGATTCATATTTCAACGCACCTGGGGAGTCGCGCACGTAGGTTCTGAGGACGCACCAACGTGAAGTAGCCTTGTTGCACATGCTACAAGGCTCCGAGTGACACCAACACCATCGGGGGTGCGTGTTAGTAGCATCAGATCAGATCGCAGCGGGGATTGATGCTCGAGTCCGTGTGGTGTGGATATATCGCAAACGGCGTGACCATCACCGAATAGGTATGCTATTGCGAATGGGCAGATGGTGGTGATGCCCACTGGCGTCATAGTTGGCGGGGCCGGGCAGAGTAGCGTCAGAGCATCGTCACTTCCGCCAGACCGGCCGCTGTTCTTGTGCACCCCTCCTTATATCGTATTGCACGTGTCGGAACCCATCAAGATGGCAGCAGAACTTTTGCTTGCAAATCTTCACATACTCATTTAGCATACCACCACATGCGCAGTTATTCGACACAGCCTGGCAACTGGATTTGCATCATCAATACGGACGACCCCCCATGCATTGCCGCCCCAGAGGTCAAGCGTCCTGGCAGGAGGGATGCGCTACATTAAACACACGCGCCCACAAACGGTATCGCAAGGTAGTGACATATTATGCAGCACAGACGGGACCCAGCTACACGATAAATGCAGGGCCGTCCGGCACAGCTCGCCTTGGGCGGCCACACTGAGGGCCTGCGCGGCAGCCCCAAGGCGCGTGCTCTCGCACGGCAAGGGGGTCTTGCCGCGCGCCTGAAAAATGATGTGACGACGCCGTCATGCAGACAAGGCGCGCGGCCGGCGCGGGGCCCCGGCCCGTCCTGGCTGCCCCGCCGCACGTTGGGGCACCATTTGCCATTGATGGACCTCGGGCCTGCGTGCTGCCCAGCAGCGGCAGACAGGACAGGGCACGCCGCACATGCCATCTCGTGCGATCCAACTCCACCCACGCCAACCGGGCGCTGCGCACGCCATAAAACCAAGGGCACACACGACCGCCAAACACCAACCGCCTCGCCAATCGCCACGCGCGCACCCGCCCGCAGGGCCAGGCCAGCGCGTTTCCGCGCCCTCCCCTGCGCTGCGGGCCGCGTCTTTGCTCGCTTGCGTGTGCACGCGTGCCTGCAAGTTGCACGTGCACGCTGTGCACGCCGTGCGGCGCGGTGGCTGCTCAGATGTTGGGCTCCGGGACCTCGCAGGGCTTTGCGTGCCAGATGTCGTCCGCATACTCCTGGATGGTGCGGTCCGTCGAGAACTTGCCTGAAGGGTGGGTGCAGGGTGCAGGGGTGAGGTGGGTGCAGGGTTGTTTCATTGCACGCACGTGTGTGTGTGTGTGTGTGTGTGTGTGTGTGTGTGTGTGTGTGTGTGTGTGTGTGTGCAGGTCTGGAGGGGGGGCTTGGGGGGGG